CCAAACTTAATGCACATCAAGAAGGTAAGTTATTACAAACTCTGAAAATGCACAAAAATGCATTAGGATGGACCATAGCTAACATAAAAGGAATTAGTTCTTTGATTTGCACACACAAAATTTATTTGGAGGAAAATGCTAAACCCTCTAGGGAAATGCAACGGAGGCTCAATCCTAATATGAAAGAAGTAATGAAAAATGAAGTCATTAAGCTTTTAGATAATGGAATCATTTATCCTATTTTTGACAGCAAATGGGTAACTCCTACCTAAGTTATACACCAGAAACCTGGAGTCATTGTGATAACAAATGAGAACAATGAGTTAATTCCCACTAGGACTGTTATTGGTTGGCGTATATGCATTGACTATAGGAAACTTAATTCAATTACTAGAAAAGATTATTTTTCCTTACCTTTCATGGATCAAATCTTAGAAAGAGTTGCAGGTCATAAATTTTATTGTTTCCTAGATAGCTATTCAGGTTACAACCAAATTGAAATTGCACTGGAAGATCAAGAGAAGACTACTTTTACATGTTCATTTGGTACTTTTGCATATCGAAGGATGCCTTTTGGATTATGTAATGCACCAGCTACATTTCAAAGATGCATGCTCAGTATATTTAGTGATATAGTTGAACATTTTCTTGAGTTTTTTATCGATGATTTTTTTATTTTCGGCGATTCATTTGATGATTGTTTGACTAACTTATAGAAGGTTTTGAGCAGGTATGAAGAGAAGAATCTTATACTGAATAAGGAAAAATGTCACTTTATGGTAACAAATAACATTATACTTGGTCACATTGTTTCATAAAAAAGAATTGAGGTTGACAAATCTAAAATCGAGTTAATTGTTAATTTGCCAATACCAAAATCTATTAAAAATGTTAAATCATTCTTAGGACATGTTGGTTTTTATAAAAGGTTCATCAAAAATTTTAGTGTAATATTTAAACCCTTAAGTAACCTTCTAACAAAGGATAATATTTTTGAATGGACTGAACATTGTGAAGAAGCCTTTGTTAAACTTAAAAACTTGATTACTTTTGTTCTTGTCATTCAACCTCCTGATTGGTCATTACCTTTTGAAATAATATGTGATGCTAATGATTATATTGTAGGTGTTGTTTTAGGACAAAGAAAAGATAAGAAACCTTATATGTTTTACCATACAAGTAAAACTTTAAATAGTGCTCAAATGAATTACACCACCACTGAGTATTTGCATGTGAAAAATTCAAGTCTTATCTTATTGGCTTACTTATTATTGTTTTTAGTGATTATATAGCATTGAATATCATTGATAACATCAGAATTGACAAATGTCTCCTTTTATAGGCTAAAATTAGAAAATATTGATTTAATGATTAATTGATGAGTGGGTGACTAACTCTTGACTTGGTGACAATCTTTATCTTCTCTTGTCTGCCTAAAATGTCATTGATAATAATAGAATTAGAACCACTTGAAAACATGAAAGTTGTAAGAAATGTCTCAACTTTTCAGGAAAACAAATAGAGGTCATTTGGACTTCTAGAACTTCAGATATGGGCCAAATACTGAATAGTATTTGGGCTGCAGGACAGATTCAAACTTCTTTATTGTTGCTATAATTTGGACTTGAAAATGGTCTTTTTAAATCTTGGGCTCCATATGAAAGTTGTAGGCCTATGTCTTACCTTTCCATCCATATAAAGTAGACCTAAATCTGAGATCTACAGCTCCAGATATGACCCAAGTACCGTATAGTGTTCTGGTTTAGACTACATCAACATCTCTTTTCTAAATTTGATCATCTCTTTGTCCTTTCAATTTCAGTTCTTAAACTCATCAATCAATCCTTTCATTTATGTGATAGGCTTGCATTTAAAATGAACATTTACCACAAATTAAAGGTATCTTATATTATTATATATGTTATTATAAAATATATTTTAGTTAAGGAGTTATTGATACTTCAAGTGCAAAATGATGATATAAAACCTTGATAAAAATACACTTTTAAGTACTAATCAATGTAAGTAATGCAACGAGCCTTTTATCTTATTTTATGCATTGTCCATATGAAATACATATGAGAGTAGCCAAAAGAATTCTGAGATACATCAAAGGGACATACAGTTTTAGTGTTAAATTTTTAAAGTATCAAGAGTTAAATTGCATGGTTTCTCTGATAGTGATTGAGTGGAATCATTTATGACATGAAAAGCACTTCTGAATTCTGTTTTAATCTAGGATCAATAATATTTTCATGGTCATCCAAGAAGCAAGATATTGTAGCACAATTTACTATAAAAGCAGAGTTCATTGCAGCCAGAACAACAGCAAGTCAAGTATTATGACTTTAGAAGATTCTATGTGATTTACACATGGAGGAAGAAGAAGCAACGAAGATCTCAATTAACAATCAATCAATCATTAAAATCTCTCATAATCAATCAATCATTAAATTAACATGAAAAAGACAAGTTACTTGTTATCTTTAATATTCATATATTAGATTAATGAATATATATATATATATATATTTAAAAAAAGATAAAGTCAATAAAATAAAAAATATTTTATAAAAAAATTATAAAATTATTATAATTATAATATTTATATCGCATCAAAGTATTATTTCTAAAATGTTCATAATCAATACTCTTTTATATACTAAACATTCATTAGAGCCATAAACACAAATATATATATATATATATATATATATATATAATGTCTTTTTCTTTATCAAATGAAATAGTTGTTTTCATAAACTAAGGTGTAAGGAATACCTATAACTAATATGTAGATACTTGTCATATGACATGTATATTGAACTGAATTGTATGATAATTTCATATGGAGAGATCATTTATATCTATGAAAAGGCTCACATGATGCTAGTATAAGTGATTTTTAGATTTAAGATCACTAAGTCCTCTTATATAGAGAATATTATGCTTTGATTAAGTTACATTTTATCTTAATATAGATAACGAAAAGACTGTCGTTATGTATAACATAAATTAAATGAAGGTACTTGAATGATCAAGATATAATTCATCACCAGAGATGAATTAGGGGAAATGTTTTATTTGTTTTTAAATAGCATTGACTGAGAAATATTTGAACTAGGTAGAATGAGATTAAAAAAAAAAAATCAAATATCATTCAAACAATTAATAACTATTATGTAGCGAACAAACATAATTTAATATGATAGACATACTATATGCTTTAATATTAAATCAAATATTATTGGTCAAGTGATATAAACTGAGAAACTAGTTACTGAAATGTTAAGTCAAACTTAACTGAGAAATTAGTTACTGAAATGTTAAGTCAAACTACCGATAACTTTTCTAATATTTGGGATCATGACATAGTGTTAAACAATAAATTTGATATTCAAATCTAAATTAATTAATTGTTAATAAGTTAAATTATTTAATTTATTTAATTGTATTTAAAATCATTTAAAATTTATTTTTTGGTTTACATATAAAAAATCTAATAGGTCACACACATTAAAAATCATTAATCATAAATTAAACTAAGATGATTTAATTAAGTATGAATTTATTAAAATATATTTTAAAAATTAAGAACTAGAATATAATTATCACATGGATTATATTTCTACACTTAAAAAAATCAAATAAGAACTTGATGGAGTTAGTTTTTAAAATTATATTGAATTAATATATAGATATCACTTAAAAGGTAAATTTATATTTTACTAATTTATAGTATTTTCTAAATTTTTTATAACTAATAAATTACACCTTTTATTTTTCTATAATTAATATATGGATATCACTTGGTGGTTATTTGTCTCGTTTATGAAAATAAAAAATAAATAAAAGAAGAAGAAAAAAAGAAGAAGAAGAAATGATGTATTTATGCATAATCGATTAGCTTCGCTGCCCTAAGCCCTTGCTTTATTATAGGTGCAATAAAAGTTCCCAATGATATATATATATATATATGCGCGCGCGCCTCGATCTTTTTTTTTAAAACATAAAAAGGGGAATTTTAAGGTGCATGCCATTGTATCAGTTTTCGACACGCACGATACAAGATGCCAAATGAAAATATTTGTCCTATTCAATCTTGAATTTCGCGATTATTATTACACCTATTGACTAGCATCTTTCCGTTATTTTATTTTTTGTACGAGAATAAGAATCTTTTTTTGGTAATTTATCGTGATATTTGATAAGTAATTATGAGTGGTTTATTGAAATCCATGTGGCATCATTTAAAATAAAATAAAAAATTAAGAAACATTAAAACAACTTAATTTTATGATATTTGATAAATAATTATGTCTAATAATCTAAAAATAATGTGAAATAATAATGATAATAATATTAATAGCTCATAATGGTAATAGAAATGAAGTTGGTGATAACTATAGTAATAATAAGATGAAAAAAAATAATAGTAGCGTCGAAGGTACTAATGGCAACACTTTATTTATCTTATTTTAATAATATTTAAATTTATTTTTAATATTTTATATTATTTTAATATACCAATATAAAAATAAAAATAAAAAAATTTTAATATATTTCTACACAAAAATTATTCAACTTCACACAGAATTTTTGAACCACCGCCATAACAAGAGTTGCAATATTAGTTTTGTTGAGTTTAGATTCAAAAGATGAGGAAGATATGTTGTCAGATGTGAAAAGGGCAAGTTGCAATCAGGACCATTCAAAGTGTGGAGAGGAATGAGAAGAGGAGGCCTGCCTGGGATCATGATTGCTGGTGGGGGCATGGACATATTTTATTTGGAAAGAAGAGGGACAGCTGCTCTGCAAGCTACATATTTCATAGCTCACCGTCAGGTTTTGGCATTCAAGGGCATCGCCTTTTGTCTTCGAAATCAGTCGGTTCTTAGAAAATGCCTACTTCCTGCAATGGAAATCAGACTCAAGTAAGAGCACAGGCAACAAGAACATCAGGAATGCCATCAACGTATAATTAGTAGTTGAGTCATTCCAATTAAACAGAAGGCTTGATTGCCACAACATTCTTCGTTTTGTACAGTACTACACTTATTTCCCTCACTAATTATCATTAGCCCATGAATCACGAGCAACCCTATCAGTTAATCAAGGGTCAAGTCTTGTAAGATCCTCAATAAAATAACGATTACACTCGAGTAGGGGGGGAAGTAAATGACAAGCAAAGAAGAAATGGTAGCAAAACTACCAAGTGTAAAAAGAATTAGCTGATACAATGTTACAGTGACTAAAAGATCAACGAATTGCTAACTGATTGGGTGATCAAACACTACTCTACACTACATACATAATATACAGAAGCCATAGCAGCCATTTATGAGTGGTGTTTACCTCCTAGACCGCTTTCTTGGCCTCTTTGCCACCTCCTTTCCGCCACTGTCCCTGCCACGCTTTCCTGAAACCCTACTCTCCTCTGCTGCCTTCTTCGATGGCCTCCCAACATTCTTCTTTGATGGACTACTCTCCTGCTTTCCTTGTTTTTTATCACTATTCTTCAACACTCTTTCTTTCCCTCTCTCTCCTTTCCCACCACTTCCTTCCATTTTTCGCTCTCCACCACTACTAGCTCCTCTATTATTATTCTTCGGTGTCTCTGCAGGAGAATTCTTCTTTATTCTCTTCAAGAAATCAACCGCACTTTTTTTCTTCTCCAATGGCAATGCCTCATTTTTCTTCTTTTCGGTTTTAGGAGTTTCAGACTTATCAGGTGCAGCAACTTTTGTGTCAGGGCTTGTATTTTGCTTCTTGCTCGGAGAAGTAGAACCCTTCGCAAGATTCTTATTACCTCTCCTGGTACTTCTTGCACCAGTTACAGGCTTCTCTTCAGATTTCATCTTTAGCAAACCCTGCTCAACAGCAGGCGGTTTCAGATCATTAACTAGGTTGTTCTCATTGCTTTGCTGCTGCTCAATCTTTTGCCCTAGGCTAGAAGAGGAAGGCTTGGCCGATATTGAACTGCGTTTACGACAAACTATAATAGGGATGGTAGACTTGTGTTTAGCGAGCAATGAATCTGATCTTTCAAGTTCACGTTTGGGTTGGGAAGGAATATTTTCTGGCACCACAGTAGAATCAGATTTTTGGGTATCTTTTCTCATTTCATCCATGACAAGGGATCGGATTTTGTGGGCGGTGAGCGATTCGACAGAGTGTTTGGGAAAGAAAACTAGAGCATTGTTGAAGAGAAGCAAAAGATCTCGGAAGAACAAAAGATTTGAAGGAGAGTAGGAGCCTTGTTCTAGCTTTGTTTGTATTGCTTCCAAATCCATATGCTGCCGAATCATGTCTTTATACACACCCATTTCCTGGAGTTTTAAATATATGATTATGAATTTCTGATTCTTTACTGAATTATCAATGATAGAAAAGATGACTATCAATCACACAAACAAAGAAGCTTCGTAATTTTAATCTTATTCTTTTTAAAATCATTAAACTCAGACTCAGCCTACTCAAGTAGTAAATTTGACAAGTAAACTTATATTAAGTCATTTCAATTAAAATACAAGTTCATGCAGTTAGATAAGCAGCTTAGGTTAATCAAGGGCAAATAAAATATAATTTTTTTAATTTTTTTAAAATTAATATATCATCATTTAACTTAGATTAAATCATTTCAATTAAAAAAACTTGTTATCAAGGTCAAATAAAATATCATTGTTTTAATTTTTTTTAAATTAAAATATCACCATTTAAAAAAAAGATCTAAATCAACTGTCACCTAATTTTAAAGTCAGAGGCATTATTAAATGGTCTGGGCAAAATTATTGCACAAGCCCAATTCATGAGAACAGAGAAAATAACGAGCCAACTGCCTACATGAAAGCTTGTGATTGCTTTAGGCTCAATGAACTGGGCCAAGCTATAATCTTTTCTCTTAGAGGTGGGACCCAAATGGATAAGGAATTAGGAAAATGTGGTGGCAGCTTATTTCACTAAAAAAAAAGGCAAGAAAAGGTAGGAGATGATGGCTTCATCTATTATTATTAGGGTTGGTGCTGATTTATTAACTAACAACCCACTGAAGGAACATGTTGCATGAATTCAGGTTTAATCTTTGAAAAATCGTTAATATCAATACTAAATAATCGTCTAATCAATAATCTTTGGGCTAATTTTGGGGAGAGAATTGAGTTGTGTGACTGTATAAAGACGAGAGGGAAGAACAAGCGAATATGTATGATTAAGGGAAACGACAGGGAAACAAAAAGGTGAAAAAAAAATGATCTTTTTAATAAAATTTGTATCAAGATTTTGTACACACATGCGGATTTATTGCCCGTTTAAAAATATTGTTTTTTTAATATTTTTATTTTGAAATATATTAAAATAATATTTTTTTTATTTTTTAAATTTATTTTTAATATTAATACATTAATACAATCTGAAAATATAAAACAATTAATTTAAAATTATAAAAAAAAAAAAAAAAAAAAAACTCGAGTAAACGACTCACATGACATTAATCCACATGTCCTAATTTTAGACCAATAAAAATAGCTACTTACTATTTTACAAACTTAGATTATTTAAATAAAATAATAATAATAAATTCAACAAAAATTTTCTTAAAAAAATAAGATTGTTTAAATATATAGTAAAAACCATAAAAGAAATATTATTTATTAAAAACAAAAACAGAAAATATCAAAAGCAAAGCCCACACCGTACATACCTGGCTCTCAAGCAGGCTTTCAAAAAGTGAACCATTTCTGTGGGCCCTAATCATCTCTAAAAACCCAACCACCGGTTCAGATTTCACCGCCACCGTTTCCTCACCGCCTGTTACTGAAACCTCCTCCTTTCTCTCGCTCCCTTTCCTCTTCCTCCCCGAACTCAACGACTCACTACTCAACTGAGTCACCGAGTCGCCATACTCGCACGACTCGTCCCCCCCACTACCACCACCACCCCCCTCATCCATCGCTTTCCGATTCGACCCGCTCACGACCGGGTCCGGTTCACCAGACCCTCCCTGGACCGGTTCCACTCCCTCTAATTTCGCCACCGCCTCTTCTCCCCCACCCGACGCAGTCGAATTCGATTCATTCACCGACCGGTCCTCCCGGTCCGACTCCTCACCTGAAACCGAACCCGGTTTCCCCGGTTCACCCTCGTTTCTCAATCTATCTGGCTTCAGATCTGGTTTCTCTGTATTGCCATCTCCTTCTTGAACGCTTCTTTCTCGCTCTTCCTCCAATTTTTTCACCTTCAATTGCAAAGTACTGTCAACAAATACGAATTTTTGTTTCAGATCTGAGCAAACCAAAAAACAAAATACAAAAAAAAAAAAACAAAGAATATTCTTTTTTACAGGATGGAAACATCGTATCGTTGGACCTCTTGTTTCAACTCCGCAACACGGAGTTTACGAAGTTCTTCGAGCCATGGAACGCTTACAATATTATTATTAATAATATCAGTGCTAATGTTGTTTTGTTCTTCATCTTGAATATCCTCCTCCGGTGTATGGTTGTGATGGAGGTTGTTGGTGGTGGTGGTATTGAATCTGCGGTTGAGGTCAAGGTATTTCTGCTGGCAAATTTGAGCAGTGGTTAAGAGATGAGGAAGACAGGTTTTGGTTTGAAGTTCTAAAGCAACGGAATCCCAGTTCTTGAAACCATGACGCTTGACGGCACTTGCTAACAAAAGCTCTTCCCACGTGCCCCATGATTGTTGGTTTTGGAGGTGAATGTCTTCTTCTTGGTTAGCCATGATTGGTTCGGTTTGGTTTTGACGGGGGAGGGAGCTGAGCTGAGTTAGAGTTGGATCTGCCCTACCCTGTTCTTTCCTTCTTTCGATTCTATTCTAAAATTCTGCCCATGCTCTTCACGTCCCTCCTTTTGTTTTCAGAAGTAACAGACAACTTCTAGGGCTTGTGTGTTTTTTAAATTAAAACAACAACTTCGTATTTGTCATTTTTCTTGGCTTACCTTTTATTTTTATTTTTTTAACCTAGGAATAGTAGAATAGAAGAAATTTTATTCTATTAAAAAAAGTTGGAAGGGGTTCTTAATTCACCGTTCTACTCTACATATTTTATATTTTACTGTGGATGAAAATAATAAATTTATTATTTTACCCTTAAAAAAAGTTTTAGGCTAATAATTGAAGGTATAAGTATCTTTTTAATGAGGGCATATAGGTATTTTTAAAATTGATGAAGAGCATATATTTACCTTGTTAAAAAGAAAAAGGAAAGCAGTAACATACAAGAAGCAAAATCAAACACTTGTAAATAGAATCAAGGAATGACAGTGACAAGAAAGGGCGTGGTGATCAGATTGTGTGCTTCTAGACTACAATACATAGTGGCAGGCTATTTTGTAAAATACGTTGATACCCCTGATACTTCACCTTTAATGAAAAAACTTTTAACAATCACGTGTTGCTTCCCTCCTAAAAATTGTATGTAGATGGTGCTTCCAATGTAAATTAAAGTGAAGTTAGAATAGTACTTATTAGTCTTGAAAAACAAGTATTAAAATATAATATTTTTTTTAAGTTTTCTGTTATCAATAATGTAATAGAATATCAAACTCTTCTTACTGAACTAAGTCTGGTAGAAGCTTTGAATGCCTATCATTTCTAAACTCACGGTAATTTTTAATTAGTGGTTAATTAATTAAATAATTAAAAGATTGATGTTTTTTTTTAAATATAGAAATATCAAAGTAATAAATAACTCGGTAAAACTAGGATCGAACTAAAGAGAAATTAACTATATAATAATAATAATAATAATAATAACAACACCAACATCAACAATAATAAGTTAAAAAGGACTTTGAGATGTAAGATTAATATGAGGATTATACAATAATAAAAATAAATGTCAAGGTTAGAGAATCCACTAATGGTATTTCAAACAAGTATAGTTTAAACTTTTTTTATTACTCAACTGGAAACCATACACAAAGGAGGTTCCAATCAGATTATAAATTATTAACATAATTACATTAGTTATCTTATTCGAATAATGTTAATACTTGTAAATATTTTCAAGTATTTATGATTATAATCTAATGATTATAACTTATGTTAACAACAAATTAAGTTCCTTTCATAGAATAGGTGCCGGTTATACCATATGATTGAGTTATGAAAGTGCCAATTATTTGTTGTACCAAGGATTATACAACATAAATCTAGATTAATCATTTAACAAGCAAAGTATTAAA